CCCAACACTGGTCCTTGCTGTCAACCTAAGGCCTCAGTTTGCTTCAAAGTCATAGAAAGTATTGTCCAAACATTAGGGATTCTGATTAAGTGTTATAGGTCCCACTCATAACCAGTTCTTTAATGTTGGGGATTTGCCAAAACTGACTGATATATAACCTACATGCTGAAATATCCACCTGAAACAGCCTACTAAATTTGACACCTTATTTTACACAAGCTATACAGTATGTGATCCAAATACTGAAGGCCCTGGTTCAAAACCATCATGGTAAGCTTAGATTGACGATATGAACAAAAGTATAGAATGTGACCTCTGAAACTAATGTGACAATCTGATAGATTTGTTGCCATCTTCAGCTGAGAACAGAAGCTGGCTGCAGAGAGCACTTTATCCTGACACTCCTTTAATTGTTTCATTACTCTGATTATCCAACCATCCATCCTCCTCCGCTTATCCGGAAACGGGTCGCGGGGCCAGCAGTCTAAGCAAAGATGCCCAGACTTCCCTCTCTCCAGACACTTCCTCCAGCTCCTCCGGGGGAATGCCGAGGCGTTCCCAGGCCAGCTGAGAGACATAGTCCCTCCAGCGTGCAGTTCTACTCTGAGCTCCTCCCGGGTGACCGAGCTCCTCACCCTATCTCTAAGGGAGTGCCTGGCTACCCTGCAGAGAAAGCTCATTTCGGCTGCCTGTATCCGGGATCTTGCCCTTTCGGTCAGGACCCAAAGCTCATGACCATAGGTGAGAGTCGGAACGTAGATCGACCGGTAAATCGAGAGCTTCGCTCCTTCTTCACCATGACGGACCGGTACATCGACCGCATTACTGCAGAAGCTGCACCGATCTGCCTGTCAATCTCCCGTTCCATCCTTCCCTCACTCGTGAACAAGACCCCAAATCTGACAGGAATAGGTCTACTCTGATTATTGCCAAACAAATATGTATACATTTTCTGATGGAATATTCTCAGGGACAATTTAGAAGTTCATTAGGTTTAAATTCTAACCCCTGAATATCATTAAGCTCAGACATTATACTGTAAAACTGATTTCTTTATCTCACAGCCTCAATAATCAAAAGTCTGATTTTGTCATCACTTTAAAGAGCGAATCTTCAAATACAGTTAAAAAGAAGCAATACTTATGAATTCTTTGCAAAGGGCTCATCTTCTTAAAGGCAAAAACCTCCTATTTGAACATCCCTTTATTCCATCTGTTTGTATGCTCTCACTGTCGTCACCATGACCCAAACATGTCACGATACATTAGACCCTAACTGTGCTAAAAGAGAAACTAAACATGCCACATCTCCAGGAGGCAACAGGCCAAGTACTGTATTCAGAATTCAACACACAATAAAATGAATATTTGATTTGGATTGGTACAGCTGCTTCCTCTTCATTGCAATGCCCTGAAGAACAAAGCAGTCCTGTTGTTGCTTGTGGACAGTTGCAACTACAGTACATTACTTTAAATAGCACTCCACAGCGGCAGTGAGCACAGCACTGAGCAGGAAATGGAGCTGAAGAAAAGTTGACTTAAATACAAAGTAATACAAACTTTGAACAAAGTGACACTGTCAAATAAAATTATAAAACTTTATTTCTCTTTCAGTTTTCAATGCAGCAGCACCCTGCTCGCTCTGAGAAATAGCAATAGAAAATCAATAAAACTGCTAAACTCACTCAAGGTCTCAAATGATCAACAACCAGCTGCCCTTTGGCAGTGTTATAAAGCTGGACCACAGTGTTTGTACAAGTGCTTTCAACTCTTATTATAGATGTCCAAGAACAGCAGGCCTGCAGTCAGACTCACCGGTCCTGAAACTCAAAGTGACAGTGAGTGAGAAGCAGCATCTGCACAAGGACAAAGGTCCACATCCTGACAGGGGTAGGAAAGGAGAAAGAAAAACAGCTGTAAGCTTTACTTATAGTGTCCCTCAGGTGGCGATCAGGTCGTAAAGTTATTCATTTATAGAAAGTGGTTACTGTATATAGTTGAATTTTAGGTGAAAACAATATTTGAGATTCTGGTTCATATCCCATATGGTACAATTTATTTGGGGAGATGTGAAGCAAAGCAAATGAACTTGGGTACAAACCAAAACCACCACACTTATGCTGCATTTCCACTATCAGAACCTAACGAGTACCCCATACTTCCCTTAACCATCACCAAGCATAGCCTCCGTTGTTGACGTGGCCCGTCTTGCTTTGTTTTTCCACTGTATTTTCTCTGTCAGTCTCTGTTTAGAGGAGGGAGGGGCTGCTCCTCTCACACACAGTCAGCTGTGCTGAAAAAAAACCTAGAAGGCAGCATCTGGATGGAGTTTTAGGTAGAAGACGTTTCACCTCTCATCCAAGAGGCTTCATTATTTCTGAACTGATGTAAGTTTTTCAGCATACTATGCCCTGGCTGACTGAGAATTTGCACAAACAAAATCAGCTGTGCATTTACACATGGTGCTTGTAATGCTAATGCCCAAAGTGTGAATATGTGGACATTTAATGAACCACTGTTCTGCGCATATGAATCCCTTCCCCCCTTGTGCTTCTGGTACTTGATTTTAGTACTACCTCCTGAGGGGTGCTGAAATTTAGTTCCCACAATGCACCTCCAAAGTGGGTGCACCGTACTTGAAACAAACGCATAACCCATGACGAGCATTACTCTGCATGACACATTTCGGTAGGTTCCTGTAACGGCAAAACCCCTTTTGATCCTTTAGACAACGCGGTCTTTGTCCCATTATAGACATATTCTGGAGCAGTCCATCTGAGGTGAGAACGTGATATAACCTGGCCTAAATCTGGTCCATCCAAGGTGGAATCTGTGAGTTTGTGCAGAACCATTATCGCAACAGGTACACTTTGCATAGTGGGATGTGAATGAGTGCAATTAACACCTGATATCAGCTAGCTGGAAAAATTTTGACCTGAACTACAAACAAAACAAATTATTGTTAGATATTTTCTTAGTTAGGTAGATATTTAGAGATTTGTTGTCTAGAAATGTATAAGGCAGACAGGATGTCTAGCCCAGGCTGTTGAATGCTTAGTGTATTGTCATGAGTTCTGCAGGCTGCATCTAGGCTCAGCCGTAATCTTAATCATAACATTTTCCGAGGCTTACTGTTCGGACATGTCCCTGAATGTCCTGTATGTTTTTAGATACACACCACTAATCAACAGCCACACACTTGAATTTTCTCCATGTTTTGACTACTGCTCTGGTCAGCTGCCAAGCTGGCATATCAGGTGACGTCACGGTTTGATGTTGCCCGTGTAGGACGGGGCTAGCCCAACGAAGTGATTAAATTATATAGGTTTCTTGGTCCAGGGTCTTTTCATCTTCCGGGCTGCCTGCGCGCAGTTTTGGGGGTGGAAGATGCCTGGACGTGTAATGTTAATTCTTGCCTGTGACCCTGTGAATAAACCAGCACGGTTATATTTTTTTATATACTCAAGTGGTCCGCTTCGTCTCACTGAGTTCCTGGTTTGAAGAAGCTTTATAATAGAATAGAGCCTTTATTAGGAACAAACTAAAATTTTAATAGTAAATATAATGAGCAACACCAAAACTAAGCACAAAAGGTTTCAGGTTATAGCGGCTGCATTCAACACCTCATACCTGTGGTTTGGACACCCAACAGTCAGCTGCTAGCTACACTGCTAGTGAAAGAACCAGTGACTGACAAGCATGAATGAAGATGCTAATGCAAATCAGGTTGATGCAAGGGCAGCTTCAGTGCTCTACCTGAACTAACAATATCCTAAAGAAATATATATATATAT